CGGCTTCCATTTGTTTCGTTACAAATACGAAAGAGAAAGAGAGAAAAGAGGCGATTTTTCATAGGCGCTCAACAGCACTATAGTCGCGTGATTTACGCACCTTACAGAAATTTCACGCTACGTTTAAATCACGCGTATTATAATACGTGCACTGCACATGCCCGAAAGAACCCGAGGGCCATTCGGCACACGTTGTATGAACTGGATGATAATTCGCGCTTTATAGCCCTTTCAAAATGAATGGATCGGCTCATCGAGTGCACGATAAGATGATCTAAACTGTCTCGCCGCTAATAGAATTTTCAACGCATTGCGGAAAATAACTAACACCGAAGCTATCCTAAATGACATTGGCCACTTGCGCAATCGACGTGGCTCTGATTCGGCGTAACATAAATGTATTAATCACCTATGCGACGCTACCAACAACAGAAATTCTCCCTTAACAGATCTACTTATTGGAGTGATCATTTTTCACTGTGGCTTTCATGTTGAAATCGAATTGGTGTGTAATCGAAGGTGGCTAGTTCGGAAAATTTAAAATTTATTTTTCGAAATCTTTACTAAATATTTTTAAGAAAAAACTCAATTGGACACTTCATTTGTTGATCTTTTAATCACATAATAAAACAACATAAAAAAAGTTTGAAAATTTTCATTTTGAATTAAACTTCAAATTAATCTTAATGATTTGTAGAATCTAATTAACTGAATTGAAAACGTCCCCCCTACTAAATTATTATACTTTTTTATTTTAACTCTGCTCTCTATCTGTGCGAGCCCTCTTGCAGTTAACCGATAAACCTGCAAAAAAGGTCGAGTAAACGTTATTATATGTAATACACCGGATAATCGAGCAGAAGGACTAAAAATAAGCGTATAGCTGCTCGAGACACTTCCCAGTGCCTTGAATTTACTTTTATTTCTTTTGCAGTGCTGTGTACAGTTGCCTCTTTGTTTGCTCTTTGTTATCTCTATCTCTCTCGAAAAAAAATAGAACTAAATTTGCGCATTTTTTTGTGTCATCGTAAAATAATTGTTGCAAGCTCCAGGCATTAAAAAAAATGCTATATAATCACGCGAATTAAAAAGTCACGTTCTTCGTATCTACCACGAAGTAGCGTAAGACGAGTTCTATAATTTTTGCTCCGTTCTTCCAGTTATAACAATGTAGAATAGTAATTTCTACTTTTTGTCGAGCGACCAATAAAAAAATGTAATATCCCCGCATAAATCAAGGTTCAAAGGAAAAGTGGTTATTCCTGAACACTATCGTCGAATGAATTTATCACTTTGAACCATTTCAACGCTCGTATAACTTGAGGCACTTCTAAATAGAATTACGACCTTTTTTCCTTTCCGCAAAGTTGACCGATCAAGAGAGCTTATGTGCTGACGTATCACGAGAGAAAATTGAGAGAAATAAACGAGGGAATTCATCATAATGATGATTTAATTGTTATAGTCTCTTGGTCCACAGCTGGGTTTAAGGTGTAGTTGCCCAGGGAGTAGTCCTCGTATTTTCTAGTATTCTTATCGATGCTCGCGTCAAAAAGCGTTGAAAAGTAATAAATCTGACTTAATTACTGCAATATATATCTCAAATGAATTTTGACCTATAATTTTTAAAAAATCATCAAAAAGCTTAAGATATAAGGTAGAACTTGCAATGGATTTTTTTATTGTGATATACAATTTTTTATTCAAGTTGCGATTGATTATAGCCGTGATTCCTCAAGATCTCTTTAAAGCTTGTGTTAAAATCATCATTTTTGAAGAACTTGTTCCCGAAAATCTCAGTGTTCACCGAGTTTGAAATTTTCATTATGAATAAGTATCTTTTCAAGAAATAACAACGTGAAGATTCATTGCTCTTTGCAGTTTTTGAATTTACTTTTAAACTATCTCTAAGTTTTATGAAAGATAATACGAGATTTTAGAATTTTATGTTCGATGCAATAAAATAAATGATAAAATTCTCTGTTAAAACCCTGTGACTTTTCGATTCTCGTGCTTGAATATCTTCTACACTGATTTCTTCAAGCTGCACAAGTTTTCAGTTTTTTTTTTTTAAGCCAGTGCTAATTTTGTACTAAAATAAATTCCATGACCCCTGTCATCGGCAAATGCTAGTTTACCATCATTGCAGTTATGGTCTTAGCATCTTGTAAGCTTATCAGTAAAAAAATAATATTCAACAAAAGTTTATTATTTCGATTTGTCTTGAACTCGTCGAGTGAATGCGAAAAAAAATCCATTTAACCCCGCGTTGGCATACGAGATAGGTAAAATTTAATTTGGTCTCGATATAATAAATAATGCCGGGCGTACACAGCTAAATCGAGGGAATCTCTTCCGATCGAGGCTTTGCTGCTGTGCGTTTATATGACATAATTCATGCCACACATATACACACGCCGGGGCCTATACACGCTTAAGCTCCCTCGACGTCGTTGAATCAGCTCGTATTATACACAATACGCCCCATCTGCAATCGCAGCGAAATTCTGCCTTAGATTCCAAGTGTCAGATGTAGTCCGCGTAGGTGTGTGCGTGTTGCGTGTGCTGTGTGTTTGTCTGTCGAGCAAAGGAACATGCCTTCTTTTTCCTTTTCTGAGCTCCACGTAATAGTGTCCTAAACCAATATGTGTGCTTATATAATGAGCTTAGCAATATAACGCGCGTGTCCCGTGTGTAAAGTGTAAACTCCTTGTGGAATGGGGGCGAGGATGTTTTATTTTCTTTTTTTTGCAAGATGCACGGTGATAAATGCCTCGTAAATAATTTGACTAAACAAACACGTGCTTATTGGTTTCCACGTGAATTCTTCATTAGATTGTTTACGGGCTGGACCGGAACAGATTGTAAATTTGATAAAAATGATAAGGTAAAAGTATGTTTCTCGGGCAAGTAACTTCTCTTTTCGCACGTGATGCGAATGATGTTCTTAAATATTGAAGCACGAGATTGAATTTGACCAAGACGTAGTCTTGGTACGTGCTCCGTTTGGAAACGCATAGAGCAGAAAAATCGGCTCGGCGCAATTTCTTCAGTATCACGTTTATTATCGTGACAAACGCAGGATTTTCCAAAGATTCGATCGCGCCTTATCTCGCTTCCGTCGATCCCGATAATGAAAAATAAAAAGATCAATTTTAATCACAGTCCTGCGAAGCGGTTACTCCAGCTGCTAGAGATGTTATCGTAAAGCTTACACAATGTCTTGCTCCAAGGGTCTTGATTGCTTTTAAGATAAATCGAATATCAGAGGCGAGCTGAGAGCGATGCACTTAACGACACACGGGGGCTAAAACTGCATCAAGCTTGATTGTGCCGGCGGTTCGAGAGACTGAGCCCTGCGTGAGCAAAACGCGCGATTCGTTTTAGAGAAGATGAAACGAGGCCTCGGTTCGTACGCTCTTTTGCTTTCATCAAATTGAGACCGACGGAAATTAATTTGAGAAATTTCTGCTTTGTCAAATTAGTTGTAATTATATCTTGATTGGTCTATATTACGTTTGATTCAATTGTAACGATGTTTTCATCGATTTTCAAAACAATTAAATGGAGTAATGTACATTTGTGCGTGCAATTTTGCTAATTGCCAAGCTAACAAAACCGAGCGGAGAAAGAAAAGGGTGCGATATAATTCAGGGAGTTTGCGACAAAAGCCCAAAGTTTATGACCGATATTTTGTATTTTTAACTATAAATAACATAATTTTTGTGTAAACCTCGGCATTGTTATGAGCAATGTAATTATCACGATTCAATTGTAGAGATCGACGTAGTAAATTTAAAGAGAGATGAAAAAAAGGATTAAAAGTGCAATTTCAGTGGGACGAAACAAGCGTTGGGCGCGCAAATACCCAACGACCAAATCATAAATGTTGAAATTAAATTTTAGTGCATTACCAAATGCGCGTGCTTGCTCCGCGTAAGACCATGAGTTATAAAAATGATTGCAATCTGCCGTTGTAAGCCATTCTACGAGATTATTTTATTCAATTTTAAATGTTCGTTTAAAACTAAATTGAATATTTTCGTCTGGAAAGTTTAGCATAAAGTTTCATCATTTTTATGTTAAAGAAGTTAACGATTTAATTAACGAAATAAGAAGACAATTCTAAACCTTACACGAAAACTTAAAATACTCCGAGTGTTGAAAAATTACTAAGAGGTCCTAATAACAGGTAGGTGTTCACGCGCAAGGAAGAAGAAATGGCCGACGCAAAAACTGTACACCGCATTAATCACACATCTATAAATACAAAATTTTCCACCTGTGATATTGATGTTTACGTGATGCCCAGCATGCAATTAATAATACAGACGGCGAAGCCGTAGGGTTGACAGTTTCATTAAGAGTCGTGCGTCTATTATATGTTATTTCAAGTGGATCCATATACGCCAGAGCTCGACTAAGGAATAATTCAACTGTTCGAGTAGAAGCAATGCTTTGACCGACTTTTATAAAATGTAATGCGAACGTGATTGCATTTGAAAAAAAAAACATCGCAGTCCATATTTTTATCCCCTTTCCCCCGCCCAAGTGAGAGATGAAACTCTAACGTACGATGTGTAAAAGCAAAAGTCTGGCTCGCGTATAGATATATAGGCCACGCGTACGTGCCAAACTCGAGTTTGATTAATCGTCGAAAAAATTTGTTCGACCGACTGTGTTACGCCGCCGAGCAAAGCCGAGTTCACGGACTCGCTTGGCGAACGTAGTGTGTAATGTATTTACGAATGGCTCGTGCAAGGACAAGTGTCGTAGCAGCAGGCCCATAAGTTGCAGCAAGAAAATTCGCCGCTGCGGAAATTTATATACCTCACTGTGCTTACGCGCACAAGTTTAAACAACAGATGTTTGCCCAAGCAGCGAATAAATTTGTGTGTGTGCAGTGCATCCAGGTGGAGCGAAATTCGGCCCGAGCGAGCTCAAATAAATCGTATTATATATCATCGAGATAAACCGATATATATTCGTATTGTACTCACGATTTGTGTCGTACTTGATGCCGTGAAGCTCGTCGAAGCAAGCCTGAACGACCAGAGTAGCCGCTCGAGTCCTCGGCCAGCACAACAGACTGTCCCACTGAGGCGGGCAGTGCAATGCCGCCTCCTCGTTGGGGCTCGTCACCTCGTAGGACAGATAACACTTTTCGGCCGGCGAAAGGCCCGCTGTTGAATTCTCTGTGCCCTGGCCCGACATTCGACCGATCGCGTTCGCTCGCACCAGAATCTCGTCTCTCTTTGATTCTGCTTTATTTATTATTACGATACTCGTTCACGGATTTTTGTTTAATTAACATCGTTGCGTCGAGATAAAAAAATAAGCTCGCGTTGCATTCGGATAAAAAAAGCACAAATCCAGCGAAGCGTTCAACTGTGCATACGATAATTTACGCGCGTATCGCACACACTGTAAACATTGTAATTTTCAGGGAGAGAGCGAAAGGCCATGATACGAATCGAATCACCGATTCTCGTGCACTGAGCTTGTGAATGCCGGTTTCGAATCCCCAAAGCCGCAGTAGCAGCTTTTAGCAAAATCACGCCACGGCACATGCGCGCATGAGACGTTCGTCGCTGTTCGGGGGAGGAGAGCTATTAACTCGTGTTTATACCCGTAGCGCCAAGGGTAGCTCTGCAAATATAATATATGATGATGTGAAGCACCGCCACAGGTTGTCGTTTAGCACATATTAATTGTCGCGAGTGCGATATCTTGTGAATGACTTGCCATCATCTTGTCTGATATTCTTTTTTTCATCTATTTATATCCGTTAGCGGTGACTGTACGCGATACTACACATTTGTCTACCGAAAACTGGTAGCTATTTATTTATTCATTTTTTTTAAACTTGAAAAAAAAACAATATGACGACAGTAGATTATTTTTGTGAACAAAATTTAACGATAACATTGAACTCGCTGAATTCCGATGACTTCGGGCTTTGCTATTTCCGAGAAAAACGACAAATGACTTAAATTTTTTTATTCTGTTAATTGTCTCGAAGAATATAGAAATAAAAATTTACCATTATGAAAAAATTCATTTAAAAAAAAAATATATCAACTCGAAAAATCACGGCACTTTTTAATCTCAAAATAAATAGTAATGATAATAACTTATCATAAACTAGCACCAGATTCAGGAAAAGCACACCCGAAATCATATGGTAAAAGTTTTCAAGTAAAAAGATTAACAATATTTTAAAGTATATTTATAGTTTTCATACGTTTAAACAATTATGCTTAAAATTTCAATAATGGTCGTTAATGGGTTAAGACATAATATTTTTGTGAAAATACATACAAGCACACCAATGTACAAAAAGAAATGATAAAAACGTTAAAATTTATTCAAGTATTAAAATTAAACAAAAGAACTCGAAAATTTGGATTTATAATACTACTTTATTATTCTATTTTAAAATGATGTTGAAAAAAAGGTTCAACCAAATCAGTTATAAAATATAACCATTAGATTTAGCAGATGAATTACAAAAAAACTTTACAAATGTAAATTAATGCTTTATCTTTGAGATAAAAGTAATATTTAAAATTATAAGCTTAAAGTTTGTGAACATGAGATAATATGTTTTAGGATTTAAAAATTAAACAAAAATAGAGTGTACTCTGTGCTGATATACTTTTTTATTGACTAACACCTGCTACTTGATCATTATTTTAAAAATTTAGAAATATTTTTATTTAGTATTTTTATTTTTATTTAGAAATAAATTTATTTAGTAGGTTAAAGCATCTGCCTTCCAATCTCTTTACAAAATAAATTGTTCCTTTATGTAAAGAAGACTGCTTTTGGAATTTTGAAAATAAATTGTATTGTAGCACATAAGATAATAAAAATTAATTAATCAAAAATAATACTTGAATAATAATAGAACTTTCATCAATCATTGAATTATTTACCATTTACAATAATATTTTACCATAAAATAAATGATTACATATTATATTTATAAATTATTATTCACAAAATTTAAGAATTCCATAGTATAATATTTAAAAAAACACTAAAATCTAAGATCTACGTTTGATGGTCATAGTTCCTGAACTTAACTGATTAAGAAATATTCTATGCTTAGTATTATCTGTCAACTTTTTTACAAAAACAGCTTCTGTACCTACTGCAGATATGATAGCAGAATATTTTGGCATAAATTGTCCTTCGACAAAAACTGGTTGTCCACGATGATACCATCTTTTCTCATACAACAGTTTTCCATCTTCAATTTTAGTTTCAATAGGAGGACCTGCAGGAGGATTATATTGTGGATTTGGTACAGGGCTAGTATTTTGTATTATAGTAGGCTTTTTTATGGAACCAAGATTTCTGCCACTCATAATTGCTTTGAGATCTGCTTCAATTTCTTTTTCATCTAATAAGTAATTAACTTGCGGAGCTAATACTTTACGTCGTTTTTCTGGTTTTTCCGGAAGAGGTTCATTAGGTCTACGCCTCAATTTTCTGGTCATGATTGGTTTTGATTCTGTGGAATCACCAGTTAATTCTATTGCATATCTATCGGCTTCAATTGCTTTTCGACTATCCAAAAGCTTATCTATCATTTTTTGAAGTGTTTCAGACTTCTTTTGTTCATAATGATTTTTAGCCGCTTGCATATCTAATGCATAATCCCTTTCTACACAAGATCTTAGGTAAGCTACACCCATTATATTCATTTTCAACCTCTCCTGATACATTGCTTCTAATTTACAGAGCCTTCTGCAGTACTCAGGATGTACTCCATCCTTTAATTGCTGCAATTGTCTATTAAGAGTTGCCAATTTGTCTTGATAAATCTGTTCCTTTATTTCTGGATACTCCTCAGTTTTACCTCTTTCACTTTCACTAGCTTCTTCAGTATCCTCATCGCTTTCATCTCTCTCAACAAAATCCAGAGAAGCTAAATCATCATCTTCTTCTTCAGTCTTGATTTTGACTCTAGAAAAAAAGTCGTCGTCGTCTTCTTCTGTTTTGTTACCATGCAAAAGTATACAGACATCTCATTAGTATAATAATAAATTTAATAGGCCGATTAAGCCTATAAGACAATACATAAATTAAAATGAATAAAAATAGAATAAAAAAAGGTTATTATTTACTTTTTCTCATTTTAGTTGTCGAAATTTGACACAATACAGAACGACTTTTAAAGTATTTGCATTCAATCACTAAACTGACGACAATAATCCTTAGAGGTTAGAGTCCCAAATATGAAAAACACAAGTACACTGTACAACAGTATAAGTTACAACTATACAAAAATAAACTGTCAAAGTGTCAAGTGATAACTGACTGATGGCACCACAGATGCGTTACAAGAGCCTGCCTTTACAGAATTGTTTGTTTTAATTCATCCCGTTCCCGATCGGAGGCATTGGCGCCAAGGACGGGCACCTAAAATTATACTACAGTCTTGAAGTGTAAACTGTACTTAACAATAGTGGCAGAAAACATTGGTAGACTGACCCGCCCCTATGTGACTCGGCCGGTTGGATTGGAGCATGTGCCTAAGTCGCATGGTGACAGTCATTTCTGACACTTTGGAGGAAACTGGTGTAAACGACTACATAAAGACAGAATAAATTTTTAGGACATAATAAAATGGCACAAAATATGTTTTTACAATGAGTATATTGTATAGAATTAATGATATAAGGATATACTTGATAAATAAAGAATTCATAAACTTAAAATTTTATCATTTATGTAAATAAATAATTACAAAAATAAAGTAATTTGAAACATTTGGTTTATGAGTACGCAATGATGAGTTATATTTGGACAACTTCAGGAATTAGGATTAATGAAGACCTTCATGAAACCCAGAATTTGACGTGATTTCAGTAAATATACCTATAATAGGTATTTAACCATGTTACACTTTATACCAGAGCCAAAACTGAATCAAGATATGAAACGAATTAACAAATCAACTAGTCTTGCTATTGGTTTTCAATAACATTCTACATCTATGCAGTATATGAAGGTCTATTTTATGTTTTTGAGGATATTCATCACTAAAAAGCAGATGAACAAAATGAAAGTGAATACAATAGAATTAGTTTACAATTGGAATTTAAACTTATAATCTATAGCTTTGCATACATATTCTATTTACTCAAACTTTTTTCAAATTGTATGAAACTCTTACAGTTACTATAAAAATTGAAGATGAAAGTAAGAGAAGAAAAATATTTTTTAAGAACATTAAGCTCCTGTTACTGAACAATTTAAATTAAAATATTTGAGTATTATGCATACTAAATAAATTCCTGCATCACAAATAAATCAAAGATTATGGTCTTATCACTTTTTTTATTTTAATCTTTTTTATCACTTTTATTTTATAAAAGTATTGGATAATTTGCATTTAAATATGATTAAGATTAATGAAAATATAAATGGTTACATTAGAGAACATATATTTGGCAAATAACAATGTTTTATTTTTCTTTTCATAGTTTTGCAAAAAAATTATTGTAAAAACAAAGTTGAAAATAGTTTTGTTTGTGTGATTTCTTTTCTTACTTCAGAAAAGTATTTATTTATCTTAATACAAGATTTTAAATTTTTAATATTTTACAGTTATCTATACAAAGTAAACGTTCATGCAGCTAAAATTTATTCGAGAAATTTCGCAGCTGAAATACTTTAATTGTGTTACATTTTATTTGATTTGTGTCTAACTAAATATTCCATCAGTTGAACCAACTTTTTGTTGAAGAATTTTTCCATAGCCACCTCTACCACTATCAAAATCTGATCTGTATTCATCTCGTACCTGAAAAAAAAAAAAAAATTAGATATATATCTATAAAGTAGGTGTTGGGAATTTTTTTTAAAGCATGATTCAGCTTTTCATCTAAACAATATATCATAAAAATTATAGAATAATCTTTATCTATTACAACATTCTCAATGTTGTTGATAATGTGCTGACTTTTATCAACTTAACTGAAAAAAGCAGGAGACTTATAGACGATAGAATATATAAGGGGCCAGGGATACTCACTCAGTTGGTATTTGAGGAGATCCATATCCCAGCCCAAAAATCAAAATTTTGATTCAGTTTTCTGAAACTTCTAGTGAATATTTCTCTAAAAGGCTTAATAGCAACTTCATCTTGATCTTTTAAAGGTCGCCATAGAGCCTTTTAGAGAAATATTCACTAGAAGTTTCAGAAAACTGGATCAAAATTTGGATTTTTGGGCTGGGGTACAGATTTCCTCAATACCAAATTATTCAGTCCTCATTCTTCAGTAAATAATGAATTCATCATTTTGAAATATTGCAGTAACAGATAATATTGACAAATTTATGAGTGTGATCTTAGTTTTACAGAAATGTTTTATAAGTTTACTTAAATCAGACAACTATTGGCAGATATAAGAAATCGTATGAAAATTAATATGATTAATATGATGGATTAAAACATTTAATGCGCTTACATAAAGTTAGCAGTGTCTCTTTTTCTTACGGGTTAACTTTTTTGGAATGTCTGGTTTTTAGAGGTTATGAAAACTAAAAAAACATCAATTTAACTTACTCGAAGTTCAGGATAATTTCATTGGCATAATTATGTCAATGTCCCATACATTTTATATAGTTTCAAGATAAATAGTATATTGTTAATAGACAAAAAATGGTTAATATAATTTGGTTATAAATATTAACTGAGAAAGTATCACTGGTCTCTTAAATCTAGAGAAAGAAAAAATGTTTTTAATAAAACTTACTTGACCACCAGTTTTTCCTCTTCCGTACTGCCTTCCTTCTATGAAACCGGCATCCCAATCACTTCTGATAATTCTGTCATCCAAGCGTGTTCCATTAATGTAACGCATACAATTCTCTGCTTCTGGTCTTGTGTAGTATTCAACAAAACAAAACCCGCATGGTGTTTTCTTATATTTGTCGAGCCCCATGACTATTCTTTTAATGTCCCCACAGGTGGAAAATAATTCATAAATTTGTTCTTCTGTTGTGTAGAATGACAAATTACCAATGTAAAGAGTCGTCGAATTTCTCAATAGTCTTTCTTGTTCAGCTCTGGACCCTTTAAAGTGCTGATCTCTGTATGAACTTAAATCTACTGATGGCGAACGGAATGGTCCTTCAGCTGCTACAGCCATATTTCTTGTTTTAATTATATTCTCAAATTATAGAAAAGTTTCTGAAAGGCTTGCAGATTTTAATTGCTATTAAAACCTCGTTGAAATTGTCGGCGACTTTAAAAAACTGAATGTGAGTGCTTCTAAGCTTTAACGACACTTTTCATTCTCTCGTAATTTTGCTTTATAATTATTAAGCAACCTCCACACATCCACCTTCGATGAGAGTTACCTGTCGACTAAACCAATGAAGCAAACATTTCATCAAAGTGATGTGACGTGTAAGTGTTTATTAGACAAATCTGAGCATGTGCAGTGTATGAGTGTAATTGGTACCGACAACGAAAGAGTCCGCCACCTGTCACTCGATCCGCAAACGAGGAATGAGTGAATGACTCTTCGTCCCAAAGTGAGCGCGAAATTTAAATTCGTGTAAAGATGTATTTTAAAATATCTATTGTAAATTTTTTTTGCCATTTATTAAAATAAAAATATAATTGCTAACACAATTTTACAACACAAAGTATTAGAGTGGTAATCATATTTATTTTAATAAATACAAAAAAAAAAAATAGATATTGCAAATGACATCTTTACATGAATTTAAATTTCATGCCCACTGTGGAGGGACTATTTTATGAGCACTGGAAATGAGGATTAGATTTGTTCATTTATACCCTTAGCTCTATGAACAAAAGGAACATAAAGGTCATGTAGAATTACACCAAGAAACATTTTTTTCTATTACTACAATGTAGTGTTCGTTATATATATTGTAAACATATGTATACTTTTTTGAAATTAGTAATTTAATGCCTTATTGATTAGTATTTGATTATTGATGCCTTATTGATTAATATTTGATTAATTCTGTCTCTTGGAACATGGAATTCTGTATATTCATGGATGTTCTTATTCCTGTTGTAAAGACAAAATTAATCGAATTTTCATATTATAAATTTTGTACTAAGAAAAAACCAGTTTGACCGAAATATTTTTCAATAATAATGGAATGAATAGATTTTGATAGAGAAAAATTCCCAATCATCGGGTAAGCAGACGGTTTGTCTCACGATGAAAATAAAGGTTTTTGGGAATATTATATAGATGAGTGAAATCCACGAATTAATTTGATGCACAGAAACAGTGATTTAAAAATATACATAGACAATAAATTAATTAATGCAACGAATATTTTGCATTTATAATCGTTGATACGCGCATACTTGAAAGGACCTAATCCTCATTTTCTTATTGCACAAGCACATAATACGTCGCTGAGCTCAACACAACGCTGGAATTTTTTTATTACAATTAGTTAATTTTATTCATGATCCAAAAAGGACACTAAACGCATATTTGAATGAAACTCTCCAAAATATATCGAAATATGTTTTCATGAATTGTTTCCCAACAAATGGGCAGGAGGGGAGAAGGAGGAAAGGAGAGGGGTAGTAATGGTGTCGAAAACCCCAGAAAACTCTAGAAATTGTAATATAACCTTTATAATAGCTGAATGCAAGCGGCGTTGGTACACTAGAAATCTATCTGCCTGACAGGTAGCGTCATAAAGAACGCTGTTTGAGATTTTTTGTCACAGTGCATCTATATAATAATTTTTAATCATTTGCAAATAAGGCATGGCTTTAACAGAAGGCCCACCATTCCGTTCACCATCAGTAGATTTAAGTTCATACAGAGATCAGCACTTTAAAGGGTCCAGAGCTGAACAAGAAAGACTATTGAGAAATTCGACGACTCTTTACATTGGTAATTTGTCATTTTACACTACAGAAGAACAAATTTATGAATTATTTTCCACTTGTGGGGACATTAAAAGGATAATCATGGGTCTCGACAAATATAAGAAAACACCGTGTGGGTTTTGTTTTGTTGAATATTACACAAGACCAGAAGCAGAGAATTGTATGCGTTATATTAATGGAACGCGCTTGGATGACAGAATTATTAGAACTGATTGGGATGCAGGTTTCATAGAAGGAAGGCAGTACGGAAGAGGAAAAACTGGTGGTCAGGTAAGTATCACTATCAATTTCATATTTTTTTATTAAAAGTATGTATACTTTTCTAAAATGTATACAACTCATTTGATTTTATTTCTTAATAAGTAATCAAATTTTTTAGTGCATCATTTATAAATTAGTGTTATATTTAGAAAAACCTGTATAATATTTAAAAGTATTTGTTTTGCATTCTTTTTTTTTTCAATTTTTATAATTATCTTTTGATGTCAATTATATTTTTATTGTTTTTTTGTAGGTACGTGATGAATACAGATCAGATTTTGATAGTGGTAGAGGTGGGTATGGAAAAATTCTTCAACAAAAAGTCGTTTCAGTTGATGGAATATTTTAGTTTATTTTAAATTAAATTTATTCTATATTATTATAAAGCACCAATGAAAGTATTCAAAATTTTGAAAATGTTTTCAAAAATAAACTGTAGTATAAATATGTGAATTGTGAATAGATAACTATAAGATAATACAAGTGTAATAATTTGTAATAAAACTATAATTAAGTTTTAACTGATGTAAACTTTTGGTAAATAAATAAAAACAAAGACTGTAAAATTAGATGTATCTTTTCATTGTAATAAATTAACATCAGTAGTTAAATTGAACTAATTCATACACTTTCCATATTTTTAATCACTTCATTCGACCATACTTGAATAAATCTAACTATAAATTAATTATCATTCGTTTCCATTATTGAGTATCCAAGAAAACACTTACATCATTTTATCGTATAATTAAAGAAGTAACAGTTTTAAAATTAAAAGTCTTTTATTTATACATGAGTCACAGGCCTACATTTCAAAAAATTAGTTTTTTCAAAATTCTTGTAGTAAATATAATAGACTTATTCTTCATATTAAAATACTTCAGCAGTGATTTTTTAATTTGCGATAAAGTTAAATATCCTCAACAAAATCAAATTCATTCAAACCTTTAATTACACATGCACTAATTTTTTAGAATTCTTTCGTCCATAAAATTTGGAAAATAGGTATCCAATATTTACATTTGATTGAATTTGTTCTTAAATAATCAAGATTAATCAGTTTTTTACTCAAAGTGTTATGTAGCTGATTTGAAAACAAAATGTCTTTTTTTATTTAAAATAATGTATTTACAACTTTAAATTTGTATAAAAAAATGAAAAAATATCAACATCAATACTTATCACTAAACTTAAAAAAAATATTTTGAGCGAACAAAGTAATTGAAAAATAAAAACGGACATATATTTTATTTAAAACAGCAGTACTTGGTCACCGCTGGTCGTTTGAGTACCGCTCGAACTGCTTCGGTAAAAACGTCATCAAGGCCTTCTTGCATCTTTGCCGAGCATTCTAGATACTTGTAAGCTTTAATTTTTTTTTTCATTTTTTTACACTCCTTTGGCGTTATAACGTCGTTACTTTCGGGACGTAAATCACTTTTCGTGCCTAATGAAGATGACAAAGAAAAAAATATTATGCCAGTCTATTGTATATGATAAAACAAAAGTATTTACTGTTAACTTACCAACTAAGATGATCGGTACATTTGGGCAGTGAACTTTGAGTTCAGGATACCATTTACAGGCAACATTTTCATAAGAACTGCGTGCATTTATCGAAAAGCACAGCAGAAAACAATCAGTCTGCAAAAATAAAAAGTATATATCGATGAATAATTAAATTAAAAGTCAAAAGCATAATGTAGGAATAATTTTCAAAAACGGGCAGTTTATTTAATTATTTTAAATTTGCGTTAAATCTCGCGAAAGTCAAGAAGCTAAATACTTGAAACGATATTTTCAACTAAAGGCACATAGTGTGCCCGCCGAGCAACGCAATCAATCGAGTGAAAAAAGTGTGCCAGGCGTGATTTATTAAAATATAATAATCGATCGTCGTCTTCTTATTCGAGCTTACATTTGGGTACGACAGTGGCCTCAGTCTTTCGTAGTCCTCTTGACCGGCAGTGTCCCACAAAGTCACATTGTAATCTTGACCATCCACGTCGATGATCTTTGGATAATTTTCAAATCTTTGAAAAGAAGAAAAAAAACAATCTTTAAAATATAGGATATTAAATGGTTGATGAAGCACTATGGTCGACTTTGTACGCGATGTCGCTTGATCAATTCATGCATTATAAAAGCGGCACGTCTTCGTTCTAATCTGTATACAAACGGCGTGCTCTTGATTGAATTTCAAGGATATAGTAAATGAAATGACGTTTGGCATATAATTTTTTTTCATGCTGTATGCGTACGCAATCGATGCCTATAATTAAAGGCATTTAATTTTATTGAAATAAGTATTTAAACAAAAATTGTATGAAACTTATATAAGAATGAATTTTCTTTAGAGAAGTACACATCAAAATTTGTTAATTAAATTTACAATAGAAAAATACTCACACAGTTGGAATATATTCGATGGGGAACTTTTTTTCCGTATATGTGATGAGCATACAGGTCTTGCCGACCATACCATCGCCTACAGCTGTTATTTTGATTGGCCGAATCCGAGACATGGTGTTCACTTTGTCTGTAAATTGAAAAAACAAATAGCGTCGTTCAATTGATCATTCATTAATTAATTTTTTTAAACATCATTTAAATAACAAAATAAATATTTATTCACGTGGACGGTTTCGTAATAGTACGCATGCCAAGTAATTGTGTATACTGTACGACGAAATTTAATAGCAACTAAGATCGTCCATCCGCGCGCCAGCAGATATTTAATATGCGTTCATGTTAAAATTGAAAAAACAAACAAAGCTACTGTTTTGACCGGAAGTTCACAACGAGCTTGCGGACGCGTGTACTGAATTGAACCCGGATCAGAGACGCGCTCGCGCGGGTCCAGCGGCGACGTCTGCAGCTTCATACGCGCAGGTTTGATAATATATATATTAGGCACTAAAAACACACACACACACACACACCAGGCTCGATTTCATTCGAATGAATTTTCATCGTCGTCGTTTCTTTGTCGAGTTGCCGCGACGAGAGGAGCGTAGGTGGATCCGAGCGCTTGAAACTGGTTTTTCGATACGTGTTGCATTAGCAAAACATTGCTCATGTTGTAGGAACGAGCGACCGCCGCCGATTGATTGAGAAATGGCATTGTTTTGACGAATCGAACGAGCGCGCCCTATACATACATTTTTCATTGACAAACTATATCGATAATGCGAAACTCTCTCTCTCTCTCTGTTGGAAAAAAATGCTTATACTCTCGCATGGTGAAAGAAGCAGCCCGTGCAATTTATGTATACGCAAAGAGTTTGGCTTATGCATGTATGTACAAGGCGCGCCTCGCATTGTACATCCGGCGCTACGTCAACCCGCAAGATTGTAAATATATATATATATAGTAGTAACCCCATGCTTTGCTATTCGCATACAAAATACATCTCTATACGTGACAAGGCATGTTCTCTCTGTGTACGCAGTTACACGACTACATTTTTCGTCTGCGGAGCTGGCGTTAGCGTTCTCAATGTCGCGTTTCGCCAGAAAAAAATCTCTCGAATGCAATCAGCCGCGCGAGTTGCGGAGATTCTGATTAAAAAATGCACGCAAATAAGTATTATACTTGGTCCTGAATGACGTTAGCCTGTATGAAGTATAAAACTAGTTGTTGGAACTATCGCGACTACAGGCAAGCCAAGTTGAGTACGTATGTATGTGCTCTGGTCGAGAGGGAAGCTTGCAAGCGTTAATAAAAGCTCATACCCCGATTGGCCCTTGTACATATTATAACAGTAGCTCGACAGCGTTTACGCTCTAGTGCAATTTTCACCGTCGATTGTAATACGCTTCGATGAATGAAGATGTGGTTGGACTAATGAAGCGAAACAATCGAGTTAACAGCATTTCTCCTTTATTTTTACAATTAAAAAATCATCGAGATCGACTTTATAATTAAAACAGATGCGGGAGTACGTCGAATTTCGATGTTTCGTTTGTCGTTTAATTAGTAACGACGATTTTTATCGCTCTGTGATTTGATTAAAGGCTGCATGAAACGATAACTCATCGATTACTTAATCAATAAGGTAGCTCTTATCACTTATAAATACAACACTCGACAAGAACAGTATGGCAGCTCCGGAATATTCAAAAGAACAAACAGTCATTATAATATAAAAGCACAATGATTAGTCAAACGGTAGCTCTCACCTTTTTCGTGAACTCCGGTACCCATATTGGATTTGTGTCTGTGTGGAATTGCACCCGTACACTTGTAGATTCCTAAAAAAACGAAGCAAATTAATAAAAACATACGCGTGATTGATTTTAATTTCGAAATATGCAATCGAGCTTCAATGGTATACAACAACACTTTGATATGGGACACTGGTACGCCTCTTCGTTAACGTATAACATTCTGAGCATACATCAGTGAACTCATTTAAACAAGCGCAAGCATTATAATAATTAAAAAGAGCCATCGCGAGCATCCGTTAGCGATACAGACATACAGGATATTATATAGAAATATAAAAGGCGAGCGCAAAAAGGGTAGCTGCGCGACATATCGTTAACGAATCGCGATAAGGCCTTATCCGCGATACACGCACGAGCCAACAATACATGAATTTCCTTTGCACGCACAGGCGTAAGTATACCGAGCTAGTTCCATCTATAGCAGCACAACATTGTATTTTTGCGACGCGTGGACGACAAATTTATCGTACATATCATACTTTATTCGTCTGCAGACCAAGCGACTTGACACAATTATAATTTTTATAATAAAAAAGTTTTATTTACAATTGTTTTGTTGATATATAAAGTCAGGATGGTTTGCGTACGTACGACTTGATTTATATGGAGCGATAATTCAGTCGTACAATGTGTAATACTCGTCGATGCGGCGGTTAATGCACAAAGGACAATTACACCTACGCTCGAACGCGGAAAAAGCCTTAAGGCTCACCGCATATTATGTACACATGGAACGTCTAGAATTATGGTAAATCTGTTCGCTTATGCAGTCTAGGACGGCTTTGCGAAGAGAGAAAGCTGCTCAGGTCAATATTTACGGGGGGAAAATGATAATAAATCAAAGCCAATTGTGATATTATAAGTGGCTATTTTTATCTCAAAATTATATAAATCGATGAACCGTAACTATCAAATTTATTAGTAATTAATTTTCTCTGAAAAACGTAGGTAATAATATTAAATCATCCGACTTGCTTCTAGATATTAATTCTTGGGGTGCTTTTTTCAGTTTATCCATACGCAAGGATCTTCGCAGATTATAAGCATGACAAACGACGCCTTCGTAGCTGTAAGGTACATTGCGTAATTATCGTAGCATCGTGTGTTTGTTCGCGTACGAGCAAGGGTGTGTCGTGCGTATATTACAATACATATTACGCGCACGGCACTATTGTATTATACCACGAGTTTTACACCACACCCCCGCGTAATATTTGTCGATATATTGTACTATCCTATATTATCTTATCTTCGCGAAACGTGTCCTAAACGCCACAGCATCCTTTATTGGCGTCTATATATTTGGAAAAAGTAAAGTGACCTCGACTTTAGCCGTGAAATATTTGGCATAAGTAACATGTGCGTCGTGATCGCGTATACACTGACTCGAAGACAACGTCCTGTCACGCAGACGTATTATAAAAATGTATAATAGTCGAAGGAAACGCGTAAATTTCGTAAGTCATCGGTTTTTTTGCCTTGTGAATCTCTAGTAATCTCGTGAATATTCGCCATAATATACGCATTAAATGACCAAATCGCGCGAGTCGTCTTTTACACGAATTACATGTAGAACTATGGGAACGGCGAATGGTCGCATCTGGATTCGATCAGGCTCGAGCTCGCAAACTTTCTCTCATAAATGCCTACATATATACAGATACTTGGCAGTACGTGTATGTATATAGGCCGTTTACCGAGTGTTGAACCTGCCCGAGTAACCTTGTCATACTTATAAATAGGAGATTCGTCTACATAGTCTATATATATAAGTGCTTGCACTTGAAATGTAACGAGAGAACAAGTTGATTATGTGGCTCGTATATTTAGATGTCGTATCATTTAGAAGCTGCGCACGACGCATAATTGCTTGTGCATGTAGGTACGTCGAAGGATTACAAATACGAGGATGGTTCGGGTCTTGGAGGGAGCTGCAGTTCGTTTTTCGGCCGGTTCTCACGCCCACTTGAGACGTTTCGTATGGGACAGAGGTCAACTTCCGCAATACTTGGCACTTGAACGAACATACGATCATGCGAGTGACATTTTAAAATTTTATTTATTGCAAACTAGGTATCATAAAACAAATCTCATGACAATACGCACATGCGATTTAGGACCATTGTATGCTGATTTAAATATCTTGAATGACAAATTTGTAGTTTATACATTGTGACTGCATCGTAATAATTGCTAACTTTCATCGAGATCTCACTTACATAAACTTTATTATTTTTCATACCAATTTTGTAGGAATTTTAAATTATTTAAATATCGGCATGATTGGATTCTCAAGAAAAATAATATTAACGCGTAATGTACACTCTGGGAGGATGCAGTTGCAAAAATAAAAAAAAATATCCGAGAGATTCCGAGAGACGCAGATGTGGAACGTCCACTTCCGCAGTCACATTCCTTTTTCTTTTAGGACTATAATTGAAAATTCACATACGATCCGTCTTCTCCCAATGGAGTAAAATTATGTGAAGAAAAGAAGCAAGTTGCCTGCGGTCATGAGTAAAATCGTGCAGATTAACGGCAGTACTGATCTGTGCAGCTATATATAATAATACATACATTGGCTCACGCAAGCGATTGCACTTATTGTTGGTGTTTATCTCATAATGGCACGTGTGTAACTTATTGTTTTTAACGAATGTTTGTCGGTGATCAGTAACGGTAATACGACGAACTTGAAACTTACATAATCGTGCCAGTTACAACAACGACCATATACCTGTCGAGCCTTTTGATCGGTATAAAAATCCTATAATAAAATTTTTATAAGAACTTGATAATATTCGTTTAGAAAAACTTTTGGAGACAGGAAATACGCATATATTTGTACGGTCAAGTTAGCGATCATCATCCGCGGTGCATCCTCGAAGAATATAATAATAATTTCGCGACTTACACAGAAGCGCATGCAAGCGCACACTCGACGACGACGACGTGATCGCAATTATCAACTAAAAGATATCCGATTGTTTTTCCGCTTCTGCATACACACGTCGTATACGTATACATATACGTGTGCACGATTGCAACGGTTGCACGTATCGGCGACTCGAGCGGAATGTCTTATATAGTCTTTCTCGGCGCGTAACGTAAGGAAAAAAAACCGGTTGTATTTTTTTTTACTCTCCTGCAATTGTCTATAAATAGAGTCCAACGAGATCGTCGTATAAATCGATCGAGCAAATTTTTTCTTAGCGCACGGAGGCAGCTTTTTGACAGATACACTCGATCGAACGGCAGCTGTCGCTAAAACGTAACGCGCGTGCAGTTTAACGCGCACACATACTCGCACACGTACGGAAAACGTGCTCTATACCGTGAATCATATTCTATGTACTCGAGATTAAATAAAAATGAAGGTGAAATTGAACGTTTACGCCTGTCAAAATTATCGTAACTCAACGTATTTTATCGTTTGTGGCTGTTACAGCGCGAATAATGAATCACCTCAAATGAACGCTTTACCGTGCAAAATCGTTATTATTAATCGCCAATTGGTCTCGAGGAGGACAATTCGTACGATTTTTTAACTTGCTGGATAAACAAAGATGCCTCTATAGGTCTGTATTGTAGGCGAGCAATCGTGTCCGGCTGTTTTTGTATGTAGCGAGCATAGCATCCAAAGATCGTGTATTATATATACGCCACGAGGAAGCAGGCATTGTTCCGCGCTGAATTTCAATTGCATCTCGTCAGCACGGAGCATATTCGTGCGTAGTCCGAGTCGCCGCTCCGCCGTTTTTCTTTATAAACAAATGCATAAAATGTGGTATATTTTTGACCGTGACTTATTACACATGCGACAAGCGCGTACACAAGTTTTACGAGTTTTAAGCGCCTACAGATGTGTACATTCTTCAATTTTGCATCCGCTTTAAATGAATCTCTTGCATTTGAAAATTTGAATACATACACCTTGTGCCTTCGTATGAGTTCATTCAATGCGTTCAAGTCAGCGAGTATTTTTGAGCCCAGTGTCCTTGTGCCGCGAGTACCGAAAAAAAGGCGCAACGCGAATCGACCGATAAGACGACCGTGTAATCGCGACTATGTGGAGTACACACACACACACTTTTAACGAGAAATGAGTATTTATATATAGAAAGACGGAGCAAAGTGGCACATTTTTTTAATTCTTTCTTCCATTTTTTTCGTTATCGTCGTTAGATTTTTTATAATGTTTTTTAACATCGATTCTTCGCGCGCGAAAAAACAGGTCAACGCGGATACGGTCGCGCTCACTTAATAAAGTGACAGGTGTTTACAAAGCGTGTACGTAGTCTGCGCAAACGAGCCTCGATCACACATACGTTAACGAAAAAAAAAGAAGAAAAAAAAACGAGACCTGAGGGTTTTATACATGTATCGCTCGTGCGCGAGATAAGAAGCTATGTAGCGCGCAAAATTCTCTGCTGCTGCTGCGGCCACTTCGATAAGATATTTATAACGAGAGCGAGTTATATACAAAGGTGTAGGTGTACGTTATAAACTATGTACGTATACGACGCGCAAAAGCTTTTGATCGAGCACAGCAGCCGTTTTACCGATTTTATCTATCACTTGGAAACATGTATGACATGCATACAAGTATATAATACTTGGACGCCTCGTCGAGCTTTGATTGCAGTCGATTCGTTGATATTCGCATTACGTTATATAGTGCAAAAAACCCATATTAGTAGTGCAGGGGACTTACCAAAAAATTACGAGTTTCGATTCATCGATTGCCTTATTTCGTTTCCAAAACACTGAAAAAAAAGCCTCGATATGAGCACACTGGCGATGACTTAATAGCGCTCGGCGACGGCGAAGATGACGTTTTATACAACTCCTGCGACACGTGCAAAATGTTCTATGCTATACATGTACAATAACGTTAAGCACGAATATAGAGTCAGTCGTGAATAAAGTGTAAATAATACTGCTGCTGTCGACACGACTTCGGTGCGGCCCGTCGCGACTATAACGGCGGACTGGCACGACTCGACTGAGCTTCAAAGTCCGATACGGAGTCGTATACGCGCGACACTATACGGCAAAGAAGGTACAATATCAGCACATCGGGGATAGCACAGCACTCACTCTCGCACACACGCGTCCGGCGCCAGTGGACTCGCTCCCGCAGTCGCGATTTGACACTTTTTTGTTGATTATATGCACGCCGTTCGAGCGCGTATCTTTCCCTACAATATTCACTCCGTTTTACATAAACTGTTTATGACGCGATTGTTTGTTTTTTCTTCTTCTTTTTTTTTGACTCAGCTAATCTTTCGTACCAGTTGACATTCATTTTTTTAACCATGGGATTTTCTTTTTTGGAGTACTTTACAAAGGTTTTCGTTGGCACCTCCAATGAAAGTTCAATATCGACGAAATCATTGTTAACGTTTCGTTTCAAAACAACTGTATTCTTTTTATAGTGTTCAAATTTTTTATTCCTTTATTGGTAACACTGCAGTTTGACTCCGAAAACGAATGACGCTTCAAATCACTTGCCTTTCGTTTGTCCAGTACAACTAATCTTCGTTAATTTTCTCGACAAATAAACGCAGTTGCCTTAAATCAACGCGAAAATGCAAGACCAAAACAACGAAGATTCGGCCTCGGTCAACAGCGATGAGTCCAACGTCAGTTCCTTCGCCCCAAAAGTCGGTATATGAACTTAACATTATCACATTATATCTCGCCCCCTCGTATAATTCCACCTCGACGATGTATCGTTCGACAGGACAAACTCGAGGAGTTGATCAATATGGAATTGAAGCACTCGGGTGTGTATGCCGACGTCCTCTGGAAAAATCAATTTCTCAAGGGGGATTTCGAAAATTTGTACACTTCTTGTCAGCGCTTTGACGAGCAAAAAAAGAAAAAGAGTGAGGTTTTAGAAGACTACTACGAAAAGCTGACCGAACTTCGTAAACGTAATCACCAAGATTTGAAAGATAAATTGTTCGTTTGACTTTTCGCCTTTTTTGTTTTGGCTATTCTTTGTTACTGAACCGTAAATTGTTTTCAGAAACTCCATCATACTGAAAATCAACGAGACTAACTCCAAATTTCATGAAGCTTACTCTAACTACGTGGGTTTATATTAAAATACGCATTTATCTCTGAAATGTTCTGTTGTTTTTTCGAGCATGATTATTTGCTTTCAGAGTTCTGATGTAATCAATTCATACATACAATTTTTCGACAACGAAGCAGAAAGCCAAGAGGCGCGTTTGGCAGATTTAACGCGAAAACTAGATTCTCTACACGAAAAGGAAAAAGGACTCGGGTCACTGATGAAAAAAGGACCCACATCAAGCACCAGCTTAGACGTGGTTATTAATATGCTGTAAGCTATCGATAGAAAACATTTTATTCGTTTAATACCATCGAAAATCATCGTGATATTAAAAAAAATTACAGCTTCGAGTCATCCATGAAACGACCCGAGATACAACTCGACGAGACATTGTCGAAATTATCAATGGAAATGGAGAAATTGGAACGGAGGTTGCAGGCAAATCAATAATAGTACCAAACATAGGATTATTTATTCCTCTTCTGCAATTTGGTCCCGCAGGTTCCATTTCAATTTTGTACTTGAGAATTTTATGCAATAAATACCGTCTGTACGAAAAAACGCCTCGCATTTTTTCTCGCTACTCGCTTTAGTATACTACTAGCAGAGCCACCTATGATTCGCTCGTGGAGGGTAAACGTAAAATTAAAATACCGGTCGCAGGGCGCTACACAACGTCATCACTCACTTTACACTTATCTCAGGGGCGCAACCGTTCTTACGCGCGTAAAAATTTTGCCGCTTTTATTCAATGCGCAGCGTGCTGCGCGAGGTTAGAAACTTAAATTTCGCTGCTTGAAGTCTGCAAAGCAATCATAACAACAATAATTGAAGCCGGTCGCTGGTGGTTATGTTTCAACGTATTTTACGAATTTCATTTTAATCCAGTGAAAAACAGTGTTATCTTTCTTCCAAAAGTTTACAAAACAAAAGAAAAATGGAGCTCACTGATGACAATCTCATTACTTTGAGCGAATATCTCAAACAAACACTCAACCCTGATGTGAAACTTCGGCGGCCTGGTAAATAGTCGTTGTTTATTGGTATTTTTTCCTATAAACGATTTATGAACCATATGATATGACGAAATATGGGCGAATTTAAAAATCTTTACATGTTTTTAATATGAGATGAAAAAATATTTTTCATGTAATAGCTAAAGTAACAAAATTTACTTCGTGTTTTAGCTGAAAAATTTCTTGAATCAGTTGAACTGAATCAAAATTATCCTCTACTTTTGTTGCACTTGGTGGACAAAGCAGAAGTAGATCTAACTATAAGAGTAGCTGGAGCTATTGCTTTTAAAAATTATGTTAAAAGAAACTGGAAAATCGTAAGTAATGATTTTGATATGCATTACTTGGATAGAAATACTAAGATTATAATTTAAAAATGCTTTTTCTAAGGAAGAGGATTCTGTAAATAAAATTCATCAACAAGATAGAGATGCTATAAAGAAACTCATTGTAAATTTAATGCTTCATTCACCAGAAGGAATACAGAAACAGTTATCTGATGCAGTTTCTGTGATAGGTAGGCATGATTTTCCTGAAAGATGGCCAGAATTAATTGATCAGATGGTAGAAAAATTTGGTACAGGAGATTTCCATATAATTAATGGAGTCCTGCATACTGCTCACTCATTGTTCAAGAGATATAGATATGAATTTAAAAGTCAAGAACTGTGGACTGAAATTTTATATGTATTGCAAAGATTTGCTGCACCATTAACAGATCTTTTTGTTGTAAGATTCCTAATTTCCACAAATTATATTCAGTATAAAATTTGTATTTAACTATTCATTTCATTTTAGGCTACTGTGAATTTAACTCAAACTCATGCCAATGATGTCAATGCATTGAAAATTATTTACAATTCGTTGACCATAATATGCAAAGTATTTTATTCTTTGAACTATCAGGTAAACAATGACAAAATGATGTGGAATTTTCTTTACAAACAAAAATGAATTAATATGGGGATGTAAAATTCTATAACGTCTAAATTACAGGATTTACCAGAATTTTTTGAAGATAATATGGCTACATGGATGACCAATTTTCATAATTTATTAGTTGTTCAAATACCAGCATTACAGTCAGATGTATGAATATTTTCTAATTATTTGTTTGGGCTTGCATTTTTTGATGAAAAATAATTTTCTTTATATTACTGTTTTAGGATGAAAGTGAGGCTGGAGTTATAGAACAATTAAAATCTCAAGTTTGTGACAATGTTTGTCTGTATGCTCAAAAATATGATGAGGAATTTGGGCCATTTCTACCACAATTCGTAACAGCTATTTGGAATTTGTTAACTTCTACAGGAGCACAAACAAAATACGATGGGGTATAAAGGAATTTTTGAATATACCATCCAATAAAAAAGATTACAAAGATTTATTTAACAATTTTTTACAATTTAGTTAGTTTCAAATGCCCTGTCATTTTTGGCTACTGTTGCTGACCGTTCTCAGTATAGAAGTCTATTCCAAGATCCCGCTACTCTTAGCAGCATATGCGAAAAAGTTATAATTCCTAACATGGAATTTAGGGGTAAGACTGTCTATTTTTATTTTCCTTTAAACTGGATTTTATATTTAAACATCATTTGCAGAATCAGATCATGAGTTGTTTGAAGACAACCCTGAAGAATATATAAGACGTGATATTGAAGGTAGTGATGTAGACACTAGAAGAAGGGCTGCATGTGATCTTGTGAAAGTTCTTTCTAAATATTTTGAAGATAAAATAATGGAAATTTTTGGTTCTTACATTGATGTAAGTTAATTATGAAACTATAAATTAAAGTTTGACCATTATATAAATTACATAAAATATATTATAAAATAACAATTAATCTTAAAGGCTATGCTTCAAAAATATGTATCGAATCCTACTCAAAACTGGCATAGCAAAGATGCTGCTATTTACCTTGTCACAAGCAGTGCTAGTAAAGGCCAAACTCAAAAACACGGTGTGACAGCAACTAGTAATCTTGTGCCTCTTCCTCAATTTGCCGCACAACACATTGAACCAGAACTTGCAAGACCTGAAGGTATTCTGAAAAATAATAGCAATCAATTTTCATTAATTGATAAACGTAAATAATTTTTTTCAGTGAACGAACTTCCAGTTTTGAAAGCTGATGCTATCAAATTTATCATGATATTTAGATCTGTTTTGCCTCGAGAACAAGTTGTTGGTAGTTTGCCTAATATAATTAGGCATTTAATTGCAGTGAGTCCTGTTATTCACAGTTATGCTGCTTGTGCAATTGATAAAATCCTATGTTTGAAAGCTCCTGACAATACATCACTGTAAGTATTTTACAGAGATTCAAAATGAAAATAAAATTTGTTTTCTTCAGTTGAATTTTGAACTTCCAAAATTTTTATTTACAGAGTTAAAACTGAAGAAATCACTGTTATTTCTGAAGTGCTGTTAAATAATTTGTTTGCGGCAACTGATATGCCAGGTGCAGAAGAAAATGAATACATAATGAAAGCCATTATGAGAAGTATTGCAGCACTACAAGATGCAGTATTGCCTTATTTAGCTCATTTGCTGCCTAAACTTACTGAAAAATTGAACGTTGTTGCTAAAAACCCAAGTCGTCCGAATTTCAATCATTACTTGTTTGAAACTTTAAGTTTATGTATCAAGTAAGTGCAAAATCTTTTTTAATTAATTGTTTAACAACACATTAACTTTATTTTACATCAAATTTAACTTTATTTTTAATTTACAGAATTGTTTGCAAAGCCAGACCAGAAGCGGTTTCAACATTTGAAACAGTCCTATTTCCAACTTTCCAGAAAATTTTACAAGAAGATATCCAAGGTAATACTGATTCCTACAAATTTTCCTAATTTATATTATAATTTAATTTATCTAAGCTTTAACTTATCATAATTTCAGAGTTTATTCCTTATGTATTTCAAATTCTGGCACTGCTTTTGGAATTACAAACAGGCAGTGTACCTGAATCTTACATGGCACTATTTCCTTGTTTGTTGGCGCCTGTTTTATTTGAAAGGCAGGGAAATATTCATCCTTTAAACCGACTTTTACAAGCGTTTGTTAATCATGGAGCTCAACAGATTATGGCTCAAGATAAAATAAGTGGTTTACTTGGAGTTTTTCAAAAATTAATTGCTTCAAAAACGAATGATGTCGAAGGTTTCTTATTAATGCAAGAAATTATTCAGCACTTCCCACCGTAAGAATGAAATTATAACTACACATAAAAATAATATCCTCATTTTTCTAAATATTTGTTCTTGTTTAGGAATGTTTTGGAACCTTTTATGAAGCAGGTCTTTATATTATTGTTCCAAAGGCTCTCATCTAGTAAAACTACAAAGTTTGTGAAAAATCTCATAGTATTTTTTTCATACTATACTATTCAGTATGGAGCCAACAATTTAATAAGTATTATAGATACAATCCAACCACAGTAAGTAATAATTAATTAAGTATGAATCTATAACGTAGAATATTCTATATTTTTATAATAAAATTTTCATTTTAGAATGTTCGGTATGGTTGTAGAACGAGTACTCCTCACGGACTTGCAAAAAGTCGCAGGAGCTATTGAACGGAAAGTAACTGCTGTTGGAGTGTCCAATATTCTAATCGATTGTCCAACGATGCTAAAAGCTCCTTACAATGCGTACTATCCTCAATTATTAGCCGCTGTCATAGAATACTTCGAGAAACCGCAAGATAATTCGGAGTCACCTGAAGACAATGTTCAATTTATAGAAATCGAAGATAGTGGCTATCAAGCTGCTTACAGCCAACTTGCATTTGCTAAAAACCCCAAACCCGATCCTTTGCCTCGTAAGTTATACAAAGTACTCATTAATTATTAGTTGCATCACAAAATCATAAATATATAATTTTATTTATATTTTAGATATTACCGATGTGCGTTTACATTTGGCCCAAGGTTTAGGAAAATTGCAGCCTGGACAATTATCTACTTTGCTTGGACAAATTCCAGAAACCAACGCTAACCATCTCAGAGCTTACCTACAAACAGCTGGTATTTCTGTTGCATAATGTAAGGTTGAGGTACGAGGTAGATTAAAAATGCATCTAATGGCCCGTAAATTCAACAGTATCGAATTAAATAGCTCATAATTAAGTGTTGAAATTCCTTACTTCGATACAAATGAGGCAATACCTTTTTTATATTCTGGACAAAACTAAAAGTGATAAAAAAGAACTAGATTGATTATTAAAAAAATATTCATTATTTAAGTTTTAGAATTTGTACAAAATGGAAAAATCCGAACATCTAAAATTCAATCTGTTGTTATATTTTTTATCACTATTAGGTCACTTACAGTATCTTTGTAGTTGAATCATTTCAAATGATTAAGTAATGCAAATTTCCATTGTTAAAAAGTTTTATTATATTTTTCCGATGAAAAATTGAATAATAATTACGAAACGTTCAATCATCACTAACTAGCAAGCTCGAAAAAAATGAAATAATATTGTACATCGATTTTTATTCTTAAACTCTTGAACTCCAGTTTTTATAAAACTTATTAAAAAATGTACAGTCCTCAATTCGAAAAAAGTTGTAAAACAGCTTTTTATTCGATTAGGTTTTAATTTATTTTGTATATGCATTTAATCATAATACTAACTCATTAATAAACTATCTGGTTTTCTTGCCAAAAATTGTTTGCTTACCATTATTTGAATGATTGAATTTCGAATTAGGTCTTTCATTATTGAAATTAACAACGATATTTATTTTAATCAGCCTTAGAAATTCTTATGTAGCTTAATTTATGCATTATACTCGATTTACAGTTCTAAAAACTTTTTCCAGCTAATATTTAAAAAAACATTAGCATTTACAATAATTAATGAAAAAATCGTGCATAATATAGACGTTTGTTCGGGTCGGTCATTAATCATAGAAATGCTCACCAGTGGTTTCATGTCTTTTGAAGTACGAAAGATACCACATCACGGTTTTAGCTTTCTCAATTATCTTTGCACTATTCAAATCCTTTCAATGTCCATTGTATAAGGTTTAGCATTTTTTTGGTTGTGACGCAAATGTAAATGAGATGACATTAATTGTATTATTATGGCCAAGGTAAACGATGTTTTTTTGCATTCGACAAAATAGTTTATATTTTTTTTCATAATTAATTAATCTTTTAAAGTGCGTTACAAGCTATCGATCACTCGATAGCTGAATTTTAATCCGTGAAGTATTTTTGAGAAAGAAGCTTAACTCTGTGTGGGTTTATGCGGCGAGACCGAGGTTACAAAAATCCAGTCACATGCTCGGCCAAAGATTAGAAAATTATATTCCCAAGTCAAAAAGCCTCTTTTCAGTCGTAAAAAGAGCAGAAGGTAGAAATGAAAAACATTTTTTTTTTTAAGACTCGTGCTCTTTAATCCAATAAACCTATAGGCAGGCGTTCAATAGGTTTCGTTCATGTATTGTACGTAAGTGCTCGACTATTGAAATACAATACAGGTGAGTGTGCGTGCGTGTGCGCGCATCGTTTCATCGCGACCCGCACACGCATAATTTTTTATCTCGTACGCAGTAAATCGTAGAGTATTCACACTTTTGATGTATGTACAGCACGCAAACACGTGTGTGATTCACGAATTCCTATGATTTTCGAACGCCCAAGCTTAGCGAGTTCACTTACATAGAGTGGAACCAATTTTTTTTGTTACAAAAAGAAACTGTTATTCGTTTTAGCACTCAATCTTTGCCGCGCGTAACGTCAACATAGAAGTTTCACGAGCTTAGGAGATTAAATAAACAAATGGAGATAGGAAATATAATAGTCGGAGTCGTCGCGCTGTCACGCTGGGGGAAATCTTCTTGAAATCGTATCAATTCAAAGTTTGGTAGATAATCTATGGGGGAGAGGCGTTGAGCAAGCCGCAGAAATAACATTGGTCAACACTTTTTTCCTTTCTCACTCCCCCCCCCCCCCCCCCCCCCC